CTAAGGTGATGTAGGGCTCACCTACAGAAGACACGGAGCATACTTAAATTCAGGAAATATTCAGAATCGTAGAAAGGAAAAGAATGTGAGAGAATTGGGGGTGGAGGGGAAATCAATGTTCCAGACAAATCTATAATTTCCAGGCATTTTTTCTTTATAGTATATTTAATTAATTATCTTATTTCTTCATATCTACTTTCACCCAAAGTGAATTTCCCTATTATTGGCTAATTTTTCTTCTGGAACAAAAGATAGCATTAACTTTCACATCAAATTTGTCATGCACTTAAATTGTCCATTAAAGAAATTGATGTCTCAGCCATATTCATTCTTCTAATGTTTCAAAACCCTTCTGATTATACAGCAAAATGGAACTGCTGACCCCAAAGTCATCTGCATAATTAAATTTTACAGAAGACCCAAATTAGAAAAAAAATTTTTTTGAAGTATGTAGAGATTTCACTTGACAGGTTGATGAAATTTTGATAGCTATTAAAAATAATCATTCTCACCAGCTACAAGAGAATAGCCTCTCCCTCTCCCCAATCAATCCAATCACTTCTAACTATAAAGCAAGCCTTACTGCACAGTTAAGGTGTTGTTTTGGGGGAAGAGGCTACACAGAGCAAAGGTACAACTCAAAATATTTGGAGTGAGATGTGTCTGAAGGGTGGATTATTGCCTGACTGTCTGACCAATCATTTATGGACAAAGCCAATTCGTACCAACCTGGAGACATAAACTGAGTAGCATCACCAAATAAGATTTGAAATGCGGATCTCTCTTGATTGGCATTGACTATATGGAAATAAAAAAGAGGTAAATTCTGCCTGGTAGGTGGTAAGGTTCCACTTGCCACAGGGAGGCATACTGGGAGTAGGATGATGAAAAGGCCAATCCAGAAATCTGTGATGTTAGGCCAACCTTAGGGTTCTCGGTTCTTAGGAAATGAAATAGGGCCTTGCAAACAAGAAAGCCACGGCAGAATCACAAAGCTATAAATTGGCTTTAAAAAAAATTCTCCTTGCTTATTTGCTTCCTTTCTTTTTTTTTGGATCCTCTTTGGTAGTAGCATAAAGATATTGTGAAAATTCCACTTCCTCATACCTAGAACCAAGGAAAAGGATCTGTGTCCTTGCCTGATCCAAAAGGAACTGGTGTACTCCTGGGGGACCAGTGTGGCCAGGATAACAATAAACTAAGAGAAAAATGCCAAGTGGGAGGTGGAATTCAGGAAGAAGTAGGGGCCAATTGATTAGCTGCCCCTTTTCATTGGCTAATGTTTTCCAGAGGTAAAACCTGAGCAGAGCGCAGATTTTGTCTTAACAAGAGAGGATGTCTATCAATGCTGTTTGTTCCTCAGCACAAGAGGGAGTGTTTGTCATATTCACTGGAAGGACATCAGTCTGTTATGGGGCTACATACAAGATCTTGGCAAAAGACACAAACTCTACAGTCCTCCTGTCCACACCCTCCTGCAGGAAGAAGGCAGTTGCCTGTGGCATTGACGAAGGACCCCCATAAACCACATTTTGAACACTTCTAGCTCAATTCCTCATCATGCACATCTGCTTCCCCAGAGACCCCAAGCCCAATGTTACATGTTCAGAGTCAACGGTGTTCTGTTAGCTAATTGTTTTGGTTTGAAACACAAGGGCAGGACTGAAAGCTAAGCATTCAAAAATACATATTAAATGGATGAAGAGTGAGCAGCAGACTGGAAGGGCAGAGGCTACAGCAGGGGGTGAATTCGAGAAAGAGAAAGAAGGAGAGAGAGAGAGAATAAATATGCTCTTGCTTGAAGGCATTCATTTAAAGGAAATTAAAACGTGCTGAAGAGGGCGTTCTTGGTGGTAAGAGAATAAGAACCTGGAGAACATGAAAGGAAATGAGAAAGGAGATGCATCAATAGGGGAGTAGGTGGGAAGTATCTAGGAAGTGTAAATCAGAATAATGAGGCATCATGCAGAAGTTCTCAATGGAACCAAGATATACTAATTACCTACTACGTGCCAGGAATATTTCTCCTCCTGAATCATCTCCTGTAATCTTCTAAATGTCTAGCTCAGTGCCTAGCATATAGCAGGTGCCCAAAATACGTTGAGTATTTAATATTAAATCAATACCTGTGTGAACAATCCAAGAATCTATTATCAATCACATCTCACAGATAAGAACCTGAGGCCCAGAGAGGTTAAAAAAAAAACTTGCCCAATGTGTCATGGCTCGTAAAAGGGATAAGGAATCTGCTTTCAAAGCCTGAGTGGGTGAAGGAGGAGGGTGCCCTATAAGGGCCCTGCAGGGAATCTAGAAAAGGGTGTGGTGCTTGGCTGTCTCCCAGGGACAGAGAGACAGCAGGGAAAGAATGAATGGCCAAGTGAATTGGGTTAGGGAGGAGGGAAGGGGGACATGTCACTCTTCTTTGGCCAGTGGGAAGGCAGCAAGGCCTCTGGGTCGCAGCTGAGCCAGCAAGGGGCAACATCCAGGCTAATGCAGCTGTTGACTGGGTGCGGCAGAATGGAAGCACCCAGTGAGGTGAAGAAATTGCAAAAGTCTGTTGTGCAGGCAGGGACTTGGAGTGGAGCGGGGATGGGGAAAGGATGGCTGAAGTGGTTAACTGAAAGACTTGGGCAGGCTGGGATGGGTAATACTAACAGCTTTTACCTCAGAAAGAGCCAAAGAGCCGTTGGTCAGGGCTGGGGCGCGGGAATGGGTGTGGTCTGGGATGGGAGGGGGAGGCTGACAACAAGCCCTGTGATGAGGAGAATCTGTGGGAGGGGGTAAGGACGACCACCAGCCCCGTGGCCTGAGCAGCCGGCCATGTCTCACCTGTAGGAGCTGCTCACCGCACTCGCCACCTCTTCGCGGATTTGCCTGTTGAGGGCGTCGGCCGCCGCACGCCCTTTGCCCGCTTCTGGGCCCGCAGCCTGGACCTGGGCCTGGACTGCGGGCAGCTGTATCTGCTCGTACCCCAGCCCCTCGGCACGACGCAACATCCAGGCGGGCCC